ATCTCCCCATCTGCGGGAATTCGCGTTTACTGTCGTGACGGCTGTGGTGCATTGGAACACTGAGCTGTTCACCTTGTGAGATTATGTTACATTATGATGTATAATGCTTCTTGAAATCCTTTCACTTTTGTGCTCCTACATTCCACGGAACCACCGCAGATCCAGCAAAAGAGCTGCAGGATCTTCTGTTTCCCATTTGGTGGACAGGCCGGATTTGGCACCCACCTTCTTCGCATGATCAGTGTGGCAAAATGAGGCGGCTGTTCACATGATTGGACTCTTCCCAGCACGTTGAAAACCGCCATATTCTCAGCACCGCGCATATCGCACACACATTAGAATGCTCCTAATTATACCTGCTGTCACCCTTGACTCGATTTTTACAATTGATCGCTTGTGCAAAAATGCGCGTTTTGTCTGTGCGAAGAGCTCCTTCGGATGCAGTTGCCCATTGATCCTTGAAAAACTGAGTCGAACGCAATTTCGTTGTTTTGGAGCAACGCTCAACCGTAGTTGGTTAGAGTATGAGTCACACTCTGATGCTCCTTCCGGAAGCTTTTGAGGGCTACTGGGATTGCGGCTTGGGAAATGGGAATTCTTGCCTTTTTGTGTTATATCCTGAATAAATGAGAGACCAGGCGTTTCCGCAGTCAAATTTTTGCTCATTTGGCATGAGCAAACATAGCCGAACGACATACAACATATTGAGTTTCATACATTCAACGACACTCAATGTCATGCAAAGATGAAGCGGCTTGCCCTCCTAACCGCACTGGGTAATTTCCTCGGTGTCGCTTCTTTCACCATCTTGGAAAACTAACATTGAATGGGGTCGTGATTTACACGCTTGTCACGCTTATCTATGTGATTATGTGTTTCAATGCAATGTGAATTGATTATTGCTTTTCATCGCGTCTGTGAAGCAGCGCTTCATCAGATCATTGCCGATCGATCGGGAGAACTCCACAATTATTCTGTAGGATATCCGGCCGAATAATTGTGGAGTTTTCGCATGTCTCATCCGTTCAGCGGCTTTTCCGGAGCTTAAAACCTCCTGCCCATTCTCGAAAAAAAACAAATCCAATATTTTTGGTGTCTTTAAGCGTTACAAATGAATGTTTCATTACAAAGTACCCATCAAGAACAATTCTAGATCTTGCGAATGTGCATTCAGGATATGGAAAAGGATATGGGGTCACCAATTCCCTCTTTGACGATTTGTTCATGCGAGATTCAGCTTGTTCAGACAAGCTTGAATGAACAACTTTACAGGCAAGTCGAAAACTCGACAGAAAACTTCGACAGCATCTCCTTGCTAGCAGTTTGTTCAAACAGGCTTGACCTACCGACTTTGGCTGTCCCCTCGGTTATCCTGCGCAACACATATTACATGTCTCTTGCACATCCATGCCATCTGTGAACTAATTCATTGTATTTACTTCCAAGGTATTATAAGGCTTATGGATTCCAATGTTTTTCCCCAATGCTCTAATTACTAGTACGATTCAATCCATTTAGAATTTGGCACAGCTCTCCGACCATATGAATGCGTGAAACCATTCACGCACCAACGCGCTCCCACAAGGTGAAAGGCGAAATTCCAGTCATGCTCAGGTGCACAGTACTCGTGTTTTCGCCGATACATCGCAACAACGAAGATCCTCAAGTCAAGTGAAGACAACTTAGCTATACTATTGTTGGAGCTGTTCAACTTCCAAATGCTTCAAATTGGAAAGTACAACTCACCGCTCACCTATCTGAAGCAAAACAGTGAGCTAATTTCCGAAGAAAGCTCAATGGCTGACTGAAGTGCCGAGCTTCATTTGTGCATGATCACCCTCGGTTTGCCCTCCATGACCCTCGTGTCGCCTTGTTCTCCTCCTATTTCATCCTTTTCTTTGTCCAGTAATGTTGCATCAACATTTGTATGAATATTAGTATTAATGTTGGTACCAGCATCAGCTAGTATTAATTTCAACATCAGTATTATCAGTACGGCATGTATCCAAGGGGCACCGTGAATTATCAATGTGATAATGCAAACATTAGTACAAACACTCGGAGTTGTCCCAATAGCTTGACGCCTATTCTTGTGCCCTCCCGCCAACCGTGGCGCTTGGCCGGGAACCATGGACGGCGGTCACCGGGCGCAGGGGGAGGATTTGCGCCTCCTCATCGCTAGGAACGAGCTCGAGGTGAACAGACTGCGGCAAGAGACCCTGGGGACGCTGGAAACCAAGGTGCGGGGATCCGCAGATTGGAGAGGCCGTTGATCACCAAGGGCAACGGGAAGGGGACGGACACAATCAATGCGTTCCTCTGCACTCATCGAGGGGCTATGATGCTCCGACAGCTCGCGGGGTGCGGGTGTGGGGTGGGGGGCGGCGATGATGAAGATGATCTCCGCACAAAGCAGGGATGGGCGTCGCTGACGGGACGGATTGCCAGCCAGAATCGGTTGGTGCGCGTTGGGACGTTGGCGGTGGATGATTGGGAGGGAGGTCGGACTTGGCAGGGCTCGACGGCGGCTGTCTCTGCCAATAGCTGCGCCTTTCTTGGGAAGGGTCGGGATTCCTGTGGGCTTGACGTCTCCACAATTCCTGCGGCGTTGTTGCTTCTCCGCTTTGGCAGTGTGATTGTGCGGTGGATGGGATTCCGTGTGTGCCTTGGTGGGGATTGGAGAGGGCGGCGGCAGGAGAGATTTCTGGCGCGCTTGTGCGGGCATGATATCAGTGTAAAGTCCACGCTTGGAGCGGACGCGCCACAACAATCTCAACAAGTATGCCCATTAGCGCGTCCTTCCGCTTCTTTGCAGTTGAATGAGAAAGAGCAGCATCTGGCTGACTGCCAATCAAAGGTGAGAACTCCCCCCAGTGCCATGGCCGCTTGCTTGAACTCAAGGGTTAGAGACCAAATGTCCCCATTGTGTGCTGAAGCGTGCTAATTCAGCAATCTTAGTATCTCAAGCTACTCGCGAAGCAAAGGCGGAATTCGGGCAGAGGGACGGCTCGTTTCGGCGAACCATCCACCACATGCACTGCCAAATAACTGCCTGCAATTGGCCTGACATACTGTGGATTCCTTTCAGCTGTGGGATTCAATGCTCACAGATGGGCAAGGCTAATTCGTTTGATTTAGTTTCATCTGCAATTCCCTCTCATTTTGCAATGCTTCATTATCGTGACCCTGAATGAGTCATTGCAGCCAAAGAGAAGTATGTATGGTATCATTGCTGGCTGTATCCTGCTCATGTCAGTGTGCATTGGATGGACCCAACAGCATTTCGGGCAAGTCCTGCACAACAGCTTGTCTTGAGAAAAGTCACCCCTCACAGTTTAGGATATGAAACTGGTCCCTGCAAAAAGGAACTACCGAAAGTTGTTTTTGAACAAATTGGAAGCAACTCATACATTGGGCTTCCCCTCCTGAGCAAGGCTACTGCGAGGCTGTTGCCCAGTGTAGAAGGCAGTGCAGAATTGTCTTTCAGTGCAACAAGAAAAGCCTACAACTGACAAAAAGCCACACAAATAGCAACAGTAACAGCACTCTGGGGAACTTGTACGAGTACAAGAAACAATTCAAGATGCAGGAGTTGGGCTGTTCCGTGCACGTGTGCAGTCAATTGTTGTACAATGCAATGAACTCTCAGCACTGCTTCCCTCTCAGATGTAAGCAATTAGCAAAAGAAATCCCTGAAATCATATTTTGGAAAAAGAAACAGCGAGCTCCATAGTTGTGATCACGTGCAACATGCATGGTGCTCAGCTTGATGAGCTCGAGTCAGATTTCCACCACAACCTGAAGGTCCTTGAGCAGCGCGACCAAGAGCTTCATGAGTATGAGACAGCACTTGCCACCCAGGCGGCCAGCCTGGCTGAAAATGAACGCCAGCTGGCCCTCTGCCGCACAGACTTGGCTGAGGCTCAGTCAGGTAGTGGAAATCCCAACCGACCACATTTGTCAAAGGCATAGCATCGCCGGAACAAATAAAAGTATGTACTTTTCCTTCAAAGTACATACACCATTTTTAACCGCAGTGACAATGTTGATCAGCGATTGATTGATGGCAGTTCATTGTCCAATTTTCAGTCTGAACACTGCATGGCACACTGCCTCCATTCCCTTCCAGTAGAACACCAAGCCATCCACACAGACTTCAATCTTGCACCCAGAACAGGGCCAACATTGCCCATCTGGAAGGAAAGTGCAGTTGCTGTTGCATGCTATGCAGAAAAGTGGACACTGGTCATTGAGCGTGGTTGTGCTGAACTCAGAGAAGTCAAAGCCAGTTTTATGAGTACCTTGCAATGCTTGGTTAACAGAGCACCAGGGCGCTTTTGCACTCAAAATTATTTCTTGTGCAAGAAAATATGCTGCAGTCGTCTGCAAGGTGTGTATGCTGTCATTATGTCATGAGGGTAAACTAACGAATTCAGCCACCGGCCATGTCATGCCAGTTTCTTCTGGAACAGCCACAACACTCCCATTGATATTTCTGAAGATGATATTCCTTTGTTGCAACTTCTGCTGAATGGTAGAACTGTGCTTATGCCTTTGGTAGCAATGACAACAGTTGCAGAAAGTAAAGCAACTTGATTTGATTTGTCTTGCTAATGAGTTTGCTGCATTTGATGTATATTTGTGCAAGCAGACAGACACTGTCGAAAAGGTGGTAGTGCTTAAACTCGTGACTGATCTGGCATTCAGTTTTCCATTGTGTAATCATGATCTTTTCTGTGTAGCGGTCCTCGTAGAATGCCAAAATCCCTTCCATTGTAAATCTCTATAAGCGAATCTCTTTGGCCCTGCAACACTGCCACTGTGCTACTCAGGTTTGCGTTTTGAACTCCAAGGGCCCAAAACACGCCAGTGCAAAAGCTCCTATTTGAACCTCAGGTGAAGACAGTTGCACTCAGTAGTCTATGGCCATCAGCATGGGATTCCTTCCTGTGCAGCCATAGCCTGAGGCTGCGGCCACCCTGTGCCTTGTGTTGCCGCAGAACTCAAGATCGAACAGGACAAGGGACGCGAGATGGAGGCTGCATATGGAAAGAAACTTGCCACAGTTCAGACAGAGTTGGAGGAACTTCGGCTGACCAAGGAGGCATCCCTGCTTCAGCAGAAGGAGCAGTTTGAAGCACAGAAAAGAGAGCTCAAAGTAGCTATCTGCACGGCATTGCTGCTGTTGCCCTTCCTCTGCTCTCGTTACTCTCTGTTCTCATTGCTCCAAGTGTTACTGCTGCTTCTGCTGGTGCTACCTCCTTTGGAGACTAGTGTGGTGCCTAAGTGAAACTTTTGCAAAGAGGTTCCTGCATTCAATAGTAATTGGAAAGGGCATTGCAGCCCACACTCGTTGCACTCGGCAACTCGGGTCCATCTGAACAGTTCCTTTCACCCCAGAATTTTTGTTCAGAACTGTGATGACCACCTTCTTGCCAGCTACATTTCATATGCCACACATGCACTGTGCGCTCTGCATGCAGTAGCACATTGTGATTAAGCGCAGCTGTGCTTGCCCATGTGCAGCGCGGTCTTAGGGATGCGGATGAGGAGGTGGAGCGCCAGCGCCGGGAGCTGTCTGGATCATTTGCTGTGGAGATCCACCGCCTAGACCTTGAGTGCCAACAGAGGAGAGAGGAGGCCCTGCAGGCAGTGTCCATGGCAGAGGCCCTTGCTCAGCAGCAGGAGAAGGAGGCTCAGGCAGCCAGGGAGAGGGAGGCACAGCAGGCGGACGTGGCACAGGTGATAATGCCACAGTCTGTCCCATGGCTGATTGAGGGAATGGATGCTGTGGGCATTGTGAAGTGGCATGCTGTTCTTCACATGCATCGCTGATGGACGCAGACGGTTGGACGCATCATATTTCTGGTGGTCTGTGAGTGTTTCTGTATGGCGATCGAGAAATTGCCACAACCCTAGCATTGTCAGATGTGGTGGCCCATTGTGGTGGTTTGATGCACTCTGTCTTTGACATCAATTGTACATATATGCATGCGTTGAAGACATGATGGCAGCCATCTGTCACATTTTGACACTTGAAATGAATGCTGTATCCACCATTGTCAATATCCTTTCTGGCAGTTCCCAAATGTGCATCCATGGGGATGGCCTTGATGTATGCAATCGTCTTGCTGTCTCAGCAAAAGTTTACAGGAATACAGGTGCATCTGTACATAAAGACCAGCTGTTCATCCCAACCATTCTGGGTACCCTGCTGCCCATCTCCATTTCACTGAACCCCTGATTGCCCTTTTACTGTGACATCCATCACCATATGCGCTGCATTATTGAAACTGTCTTCATTTCTTGCAGCTTCTTGCAGTTGACCCTGTGGTGCATCCGCTGAGTCAAGGGATCCACTTAGTCAGAACACTTCCCTTGGCCAGCTACATACAAGGTCAAATGCCACCTACGATAGCAGTACAGAGTGCCAGTTTTCCAAAATACTTGCCCTAATGTTGCATCAAAACTGCAGTTTGGGATGCCGCATAGGAGGCAGTTTGTTGTTCCAGCTACGTGGATAGCATGCCGCATGCTCAACGCAACACGGAATGTTGCAGCAAAGCATAGAAATATCGACAAGGCTGTGCCCACATTCGTTGCACACCCCCAGGCTGCTCTCCAGAACGCGAGGCTGAAAGAACAGCAGGTAGCGGCACTGGCCAAAGAGATGGGTTGCCTCAGGGCGGCGCACAAGGAAACGATATCGCAGCTGGATTCGAGCCTTGCTGAGGTCAACGAAGAGAGGCAGGTGCGCCCCGCTGCTGGTGAGGCTCCTGTGCGCCCTTACGTCAATCATTTGCAGTGTCTTGAACAGTGTATGTATTTACTAATATAGTTGACTAATAAACTATCTTTACATAGTGCTTCAGTTGCAATGCTGACACAGAAGATTAACGAAAATGAGCAATGGACACAAGAGGTGAACTGGCGCAAGGAAATGAGCAAATAGGGGACCAGAAAGCAGGAGATGTTTGGATCACCTTTGGAGCAAGAGCGTGAGGTGGAGGGTAGTGCTTGCAGTGGTGCAGGGAGAAGCACACTGGCATAAAGTATAATTCTAAATGCAATTGCCCTTCTGCGTCATGCTTTGTTGACACGGATTGCAAAATCCGAGTACTTTAAAGTAGTGTAACCAAAGCACAATTTGATCCATGTTTATGCGTGTCGCTCAACGCACCCCTTACATCAGCTGCACAGCTGCCGGCTGTTGTTCCATGACCGAAACATGGCCCAAAAAACACATCGGGTGTGGCCTAAATATGCTCCATCGTACCACATGGCAAGCTACTGATGCAAGACAATGAGCAGAGATTTGAGTGAAGTACTGATTTAACAGCTCAATGATGTGTACCACTGATCGTGCTATGCAATATCCACCAACCAAGGGCAATTTCGACTCAGTGCAACACTGGCCCAAACGTCATCGAGGGCAGTCCCACAATTCTGCACAGGTGCAATTTAATGCAGTTTGGGTTCATTGCATGTGGCGCCATTGCTTATGAATCGTGAACACCACGAAATATTCAAGCCTTCCGCGTAGTGATGTAACGCTTGGCCATTTGTGCGGGAAATAAACAACATCTTCCTGGGCAGTATAAGAATAAATAACGCTCTGATAAAAAAGTGCGTAGCAAAAATATAACGGTAAAATGTTGTGATGCGGAACGGTTGAACAAACTACGGTAATTGGCGCTGCGCTGTAGGCGGCCCTTGACAATGCGAGGGACTTGGAGCGGCGGCTCAATCTCGCCCAAGCGGCCCTGAATGACAGCACGAGGCAGCACGAAGAAAACGTGGTACGTGCCCGTCGAGAGCATCAGGAGGCCGTCCAGCGGCTGCAGGAGCAGCTGACAGCCACGCAATGTACGTGCAGTGTAAGTAGTCCTCTGCGCGGTTTTGGAGGATGCTGTTTGCAGCCGTTTGTGGAGATTGTGGGGCCATTGTCATAAGGAAAATCTAAATTCATGTTCCAAAATCTTCTTCTGCTGACTGGCCAAAACGCGGCTCACTTTTCAGGTTCCAATATGCTTGTATGTCGGCAGGCGACTATAATTTCGAGTGTGTCAAAATAACGAAAATGTCGGAAACATCGAAAATATCGACCTTGCAGCAGCAGCTTTAAGCTCAGCTGGCGCCGCAGGGCGCATGGGCCCACCGCCCTTCACACCCTGTGGGTGGCCCATGCGCAAGTCTTCGTGCGGCCGCCTTTGATCCTGGTGGACGCAGCTCTGTTCTATGCTCATACAGATTATCCCATTTGCAAATGTGTACTTCGGTGGCCAGCATGTAGCTTAGTTCAATCGGTAAGATTGTGGTCTGCAGCGATCACGCAATGGTTCCATCGCCCCCTGCATCTATTCGACAGTTGTCACATCTGCCATTGCCTGAGTGGGTCGTAATTCGCCGTCGACTTGATCATTTTCTTGTGATGATGATCTGTCGCAAACTTGAGTGAATTGTGAAATGGACTCTTGGGAAACAAAGAAAAGAAAATATAGTACTCACTGTGTCGAATTGCGAACCGAATTGAGAGTTTGCGAATATTACAACACGGCCCTGCCATGCGTGTGTGTCTTGCGGCGCTCACGCAAACTGGTATATAACGGATTGAAGCTACGGGCGTTCACGAATATGATTGTTTTCCATTCTGCACCTCCACTGCAAAATCTAAATCTTGCAACAGAATTAGCTCAAAAACTCCGCACACATCGCCTTCAAAATCGGTTCCTGACCACAAAGCTCAAATCCTGAAGAACCGCGCTTTGAGTGTCGAGAGAGCAAATGTCTTCTGCATGGATTCTGCGTTCGGGATTCAGGCTGTACGATTGGATTCGGCGGTTGCGTCTAGGTTTACCTATTCAGTGTTTGGGTGCCACGTTATCCTGCAGCTCAGTCGACGTCCTTGGCCGAGGAACGAGACCGGATCGCCTCCGAGCTGCTGGCCACGACTTCGCGCCTCCAGGTGAAAACAAAGCGGCCATTTGTTTTCAGAATTTATGCAGATTTCATCATATTTTCTACTAGTCTTACTGCTTGCCTCAACGCCGCTGTTCAACGTAGCTTATGCGCAAAATATAAAAGAATTCCTATGAACTTCTGCAGTACCAAGAGTTCTGATGGAAGTTTTTGCAACACTGTGTCGATTGAAAAAAAATTGGAGCCAACACGCCACGAATCGCCACGATTCGGTGACTCACCAGCTGCCAGCCCAGGAAATCAGCATTGGAATAAAACGAGAATGAGGCACACCCCGGCCCATCGGAAGTCTAGCATGATATTCATCCGGGAGGGGGCACAGTGTCCACATTCGGCGAAGGTGCATAGCAACAAGCGAGGTGCGGAGCGCCCTTCCCCCGATGCGTGCAAAGGACGGAACTGAAGGAAGAGGAAAGTGAAGGCAGCCAAACTGCCACAGAGGGCTCCCAAACTCGGGCAGCTCGTGCCACGATCGCTCATGCTTACTCCGCGAAGTTCCACCTGATTGAAGGCACAAAGATGCACCGCCCCTCCCAGCCGCAATCACACCGACCGTGTCCGACTCGAGCATCCAATCGAAAGCATCCGACACGGCCGCCTTAGAAACATGCCGCGGCTCAGACGCCCTTGCTCTACCACCATCAGCCTCACTCGCGAAGAACAAGGAGCACACCGATAGCCTCACCTTCTTTGCCGCTGCTGTGTTTCCTCGCCCGGATGCTCGCTCCTGGCCCGGTTCAACTCTCAAACAAACCCGCGGATTCATTTCGGAAGTGCGCAGCACTGCGGCTGTGCATTTCTGAACAGAGTCGGAACAGTGCCCAACGATCTGCTGCAGACTGTGCCACAGGAACCCCACCCCCTGCCGACTTCGCATTGCACGTCCTGCACATGACAGCCCCATGGTTGCCCAAATGGCCAGCCTCAATGGCGGAGCGTTTCGTGGCCGTCAGGATCCGCCTTCAGTCATCCTCACGCGTTGTGGTTGAATGATCCGCGCAGCACAGACGGCGCGCCGTTCCAGCCCCTCAAGGAATTCAAACTCCCTGTGCACCCCTTTTCCACGGTTTTTGTCTTTCACATTTTATTTTACCAGTTTCCATTTTATCATATTGATGCTTTTGCATTTTCGTTTTCTGCTGCCGTGGCCCCCTTTGAAGGGCGCTGCCACTCGCGTCGCAAGCCGGGGTGAACTATGGGTGGTGATA